GTCTGGCCATCTAAGGAATTCGATAAATCTTTGTTGCTCTGTTTTTGCCTTCACGATTGATTTTCCATTTACTTGGTGTTTTAATGACATAATAACAGCTTTATGATTTATAATAGTGCAACTCGCGTGTTTTTCTCCTGTATTGTTATAACTACCAGTTTTTTATTCACTCCAAAATATTGTATCTTTATTATAGTGCAATAAATTTTATTTTGGTTTTAAATCGCAAAGTTTATTGCCTTTCTCAATAGCCACGTAAGCCGAGACTACCTATATAATATTTTTACTATATTAGTGATCTAGTTATATAAGTTCACAGCCACATTCTCTAAATGACAATTCTTACTGTTTTACGTAGGAGAATGCGTATTGTACTACATCCTTTGCTATTATTGTCATTTGTTTGACGGCTAGATGCATACGCTATTGGATGCTCCTCTATTGTCATTGCCATCCTTTAATAGTAAAACCGTACTCGGCATCTGTCATCAGCAAGTCCCCCCTCAAACTTGGTCCTCTGTAAGTGTACCTACTCATAGGTTACTCGCTGCAAACGCACATGGTTATATTGTTTAAGTTCTGTCATCATAAACTACCTTTTTGGCTGAGTTTTTATATAGCGTTATTGTATCCATTCATTCAAGCCCCTTTTTGAACTTATCTAGCGTATGAAGATGAATTAAAACCAGTTTTACTATCTAGGGCCTTATCTACCTTAAGTTTCTTAAAGTAAAACTGACAAATTCCTTCTTTTACCTGTGAATTTTAGTGGTTAGGTTGCAGGTCTTCAGCCTTGTGGCATGACTCTCCACTTCGAAGGGAAAGTTGGTTGGGAGGAATTCGTGATTTGGTCTCACTGGCAACTGAAGGAGAATTGCCGCGTATGAAAGACTATTGAATTGTGCGAAGAAGTCATCGGCCCTGATTAGACTGTGCTAAGCCTTCGTCTTAGTAGGAACTATTTAGGGCTGTTGGATATGTTTAAGGAAAGGAAGTGAGAGGGAGTATACCAAAAGCCACTGAATTAGAGGAGGCTGGATTAGCCTCGGACGGTGAGCCGAGTACTTCTTCGCACAAATCATCAGTCTTCCCTACGCAGTAATCCTCCTTCGGTTTCCAGTGAGATCACATCACGAATTCCTTCTACCAACTTTCCCTTCGAAATGAAGAATCATACCACAATATTTCATTAGGGAATTCTTCGAAACCAAGTTTTTCTTTAGATTGTAGTCTTTCCATTTCATCTTGGCTAGCTCAACTATGGGGTTGTTCGTCCCTAATACAGATCGAGGCGTCCTTTATATTGTAGATAAATTCGTTATTTCGAATTACATTAAGGCATATATTTAATTTTATTTACTTCCTTTCATATTTTTGCATTATTTTAGACTTTTTTCGTTCTGATTTGGATCAAACAAAACAAAGACTGCATGCGACTTTCATCAATATCTATGGTTACAATTATAAGCAACATCATGACTTCTTTTTCAAGCTTTTTGACGATTTGACCAGCTACATGTCTGGCCAAAGAGGAGGTCTAGCTGAATTGATTGACACCTTTTTCTCAACTCTGCGAGACAATATGATTCAGTTAATGGATCAGTCATCTCTGCATGGGCAATCTGGACAATCCACTAATAATGCTCCTCCTAGTGGGGCTCCTGGATCTGCCCGCATAAAATGCCTCTCTGCTAAAATGGCTCAACTTCGTCCGTTCGACGATGCTGATGGGCGACTTCGTTCGCGTCTTCTGGAGGCTTATCCGCCCGCCAGGATGCTCGTTAATGTACTGGCTACTACGAGTCAACTTCTTTCTCGTCTAGCCCAGCAGGTATTCTGGCTTAAATTCGCTTAATGAAAAAAAACTTCTTAAATTTTGTTCACCCCATTGTTAGATGGCATATTTACATCTCATTCGATTTAAGTTACCTATAACTTATTCTCATTTGTTGGTTAGAAAGAGCCTATTAGTTGTCAAACCCTATCGTCTACGCACCACTTACTGGTGAATGTCTAATAGCTTTTTCAAGTCAATTTATAGTCTCCTCATATATTTAATGTATTTAGCTGTTAATTCCTCTAAAATATGCTTAAATTCTGATTTAAATAGATTTTATTTTAAACGTGGCCTCACATTTTCTTAGCTTATTTCTTTATTTGAGTACATTGGATAAATTCACATAGCTTTACGAGCGTTTTATCTTCATGAGATGCATCTTCGCCCGGACGTCTCACCTTTTAACTATCTTAGCAATACATCTTTTTTAAATTTTGCTAATAGAGCTATAAGTATTGTCAATTAAATTCGCGGTTTTTTTTGTTCCAAGTGTTATATGACATTGCATACTATTGTATATACGAAGAGTAACTGAATTTCGATGAATCTCTTGAGATAACATTGTTAGGGGGACTTTTATCTCGTATGAAAGTGAACGAAGAAGAAATTAATTGGTCGATCTCACTAGATGAGGACGGGTAAATCTCATCATACTGCAGTCATTTGACTTTTATACGGTATTCATGTTGATGCAGTCCACAAGACCTTTTCGCTCGTTTCGGGTGAAAACGTGCTGAGCTTTCGTCCATCATATGATGGAAATCATCAGAGCTGGGTGTCATTCTTGTAAGTCTCACGTCAACACTATCCGGCTCTATCCTACTTCTTATATAGACTCAATTGAGCCAAAAGAAAATTAAAAAACTAGATAGATCAGTATAGAGTGGTTTGGCTAATTATCTTTCATACTAGATATGAAGACCAAGATGGTGTGGCCTTTTGTGTGGTCGCAGTCTCCTTCCGTTGTATAGAAGTTGTTT